CGTTTCGGAATTTGCTTTTGCGAGGATGTCGTATTGAGTACTTGCTTAGGTCGCTCTATTTTTTTTTTTTTTTTTTTTTATAAATATAGGAATCTTGTTGGCTAAATTCTTTTTAAATATAACCTTATTAAAAAAATTTTTTAATCAATCAATTAATTAATTAATTATTCTTTAACTCTTTATTTAATTATTCAAAATCCCATGATTTAAAAAATAATTTTAATGAAAAATTACAAAATTCAAGTTCACCAAATCAATTTAATTCAACAACTGCTGCCAACAACGTCAATAACAACACCAATACTGCTTCCATCAATAGTATTTCACCAAAATTTGATTTCAGAATTTTGAAAATAAGTTTCCTTAAAGATGTTGTTCAAATTCCAAATCGTAGATCATCAATTGACATTTCTACTAATAATGATGGTAGCGTTCGCAATAATGTTACTAATACTAATAATAACAATAACAATAACATTAATAATAGTAATAGTAGTAATAATAACACCAATATCAATAATAATAACAATAATATTATATCAACAGCAATTGTTGCAAATGGGCAAAATACAAAAACATCAACATCATTACCTTCACCGACATTATCTACTGCAAATATAAATAATAATAATAACATTTTTTCAACATTTACTCCTTCGGTATCTTATGTTCAAATGGATAGAATTCAAACAAGAGATCTACAAGCATATAAAGAGACACGACTTGCATTAGCAAGAATTGGTGTAGGTGTAACACAGGAAGCTCAAGATATTTTTGATGCTTTGAGTAAAACGTTTGTATTATTTTATCTTTTTCGCATGAAATATAAATTTTATTTTTATACTGGAATAATTAAATATATTTTGTATGCGTGTGTATGCGCTTGTGCATATGTTTGTATATATTTATTATAGGTTACCATGTCGATGGGCAGATGAAAAAATTGTTGTTTTGGACGAGGTTATTATTAATCCACCTTATGATCTTGAAAATTGTAAAGCAAGTTCGAGCGCTTCTGGCTCGCTGGCAAGAGTTCGGAAAGTGGTATGTTTTCACATTGATTGGGTGATTGAATGATTGACAATTGGATGAATTTGATCATTAATTTGATTTGCACATAAATGTCATATTAATTTATTTGTAGCTTGAAGGCGAGAAAAGAAGATTGGCCAACATTAGAAAACAATAACGAGATTCAATATTAGTTAATTAATAATGATAATGACAATGTGATAAAGTAAGGAAAATGTGTTTTTTTTTTTTTTAAAAAAAAGTATTATTTTTCGTATATTTCATTCATTCATTTATTTATCATTTATTATATTAACAGTGATACTTAAATTTGAAATTATCAAAATTAATCCATTATGATAATTACCTAATCACAAGGTCTAACAATGATCACACCAACAACAACAATAATAATAATAAAAATAATAAAAATCGTATCATCGTTTTTTTAATAAAATTTCAATTCTTCTGAATTATCGTCCAGACCACTTTCATCACTAGTTTCATTAAATGTCTCATCTTCCATGCTTCAAACCGAAAACTTTCAATTCCATTGTTTGATGATGAACTGACGAAAGAACTTGATCCATTCTATATATCATCAATGTCATCTTTACCATCTTCACAATCATCACTTTCATCACTTCCATCAACTCCATTATTAGGTGTTCACCAATAGATGGAACAGTGTTAGAAATTTTTAATTATTGTTATGTAGCCTTAGGTAAAGACCATTCCATCCTTTTATTTGTATTTAGACTTTGCAGATAGCTAAACAATTACTTTTATTAACAAAAAATATGCAAAGGCTTTCCATCCGTATGTCTACTACTCATTTTAAAAAAATAAAGGTAAAAATAAAGAAAAATTTTCTTTTTTTGCATTACTATGGAGCAAGTGAATCTACAAAGTCATATGATCTTATCACGTGTATAAAAAATTATTAGGAAAATTGTTGCTTGCTAGCATTAGTCATAATTCCCACTCCAAAGAAAAAAGAATTCCATGGCGGCATTATTACATGTAAGTAGATATATATTTATTCTAATAATGAAAATAAAATTCACGCAAATTTTTCATCGATTCCTGTGGTTCCAGTTTGGTTTTAATTCTCGCGATTCCAGTGTTCCAGTGTGTTTCCCACTAGGACCGGAAATTCCAACACTGCTCTTGAGCAATTAATAAAAATACCACGTCAAAACTTAATTTTTTTTTCACAAACTATTAAAAATATGATTAACAAAACGGGTGTTCCAAAACTTTTGGTCAGGTACTG